TATCCACTGAGCCAAACTGGTTTCAGCAGAATCTGATGAATTCTTACATACTGAAAATTTTCTCCTTGAACAGATAAAGCGAGCATTGAGGGGAACTGATTAAACTATTTCATACTTATACTAGAGGCCCGGTACACGAATCCATGCACAGGTGGGGTCCCTCTGGGTGGCCTGCAGAGATCAGGCCCCAGCTCCTGCCCCAAAGCTCTGCCTGGCACCCCACCTTGGCCTGGCGCTGCCCCCTTACTTGCTCCACCATCATGCCTGTTGAGTAATTGATCAGGGTCAGGCCCGTCTCCTGGCTCCCTTAGTGCCTGGGACCAAGGTGGTGGCTGTGTCCCCCGCCACCACTACTGGTCACCATCCATAGGGCAATCAACAGGGCAACTAGACCCCCCCACCCCCAGTCATACCCGAGTTGGCCTGGTGCCAGCCGCTCACCTGTTCCACCACCCCACCACGTTCCTGCTTCCATCAGTACCCATCAGGGCTGGCAGCACCTCTACTATTGCTTGCTGCCAGCACAGTGTCTCTAATGCCCTGCCATGTTCCATGCCACCCCCTGTGTCAGTGCATGTCATAGTGAGCTGTTGAACTCCAGGTGTCCCAGTTGAACTCCCAGTTGAACAACTGTCCGAGGGGACAATTTGCATATTAGGCTTTTATTATATAGGATTTTAACAGAGACAGAAGTGAATGATGATGCAGAAGTGACAGAAACTGTAGTAGTGACAATGTCCAGGAAAAACAATCAAAGACATTGTCAAACATGTAGCCTATACCTGTAATTGGACATTTTGATAGTCACTCATGATATACTTAGGAAACAGGAGACATGGTAGATTTATAGATGGCTTAAGCAGAGCAATGATTGGTAGATTCATGTTAACTGTGAGGAAGTCTATTTTTGCTTTGGTCCTACAGAACATTTTAGATAAATAGTTTGAAGAAATGGGAGCACTTCTATACATTTCCAGGTGACACAAAGCTGGAAAGGAGAGTGAACATGCAGGATAAAATAGTCCATTCAATAAATATTGATGGAGCACCTTTATTGGCAAGGTGTTAAAGTGAATACAAAGATCAAGACACAGCTCTTCCTTTCATGATTTCCTTTTTCAATAGGAGAGACAAAATATGTGTAAGTGATCAATGAACTAGGTATGAGGTGGTAAATTTCATAAAAAATATAGATATCATGGTTAGACTGGTCAATGTTGGGAGATATCGCCTAAGTTTTATGTGTTGGTGGATTAGGAATCTGGGAGGATTTAGTGCAAGTGTTCATAGGACTGTGTTAGATGAGTAGAATCTGGGCATACGGTAATGAAGAGAAGGAGAATCTAGATTTGGAGGTGGAAAAACATGGAGCATATATTGGGAAGGATTTGTGGTTTGGTTTGAAGAATGGAATTCAGGACAGGGAGCGGTAGGAAACAAAAGTTGGGAAATAAGATTCTGGGATCCAGGCTGGCACAATAAACTAAAAACAATAAAATGAAATTTAACTTGGATGAACTTGTAGTTTAAAGATGGCAGTGTAAAGCTGTTGTTCCCCTTTCCTCTTGAAAATTACCCCCAAACAGTGAGACTCAAACTCCACTTTTGATGACTCAGAGGTATATATGAACCAAAATAACATGGAAATTAAAAGCAGGTAAAAGAATGATTGATGACTCTGTATAGATAGGCCAAGTTCACTTCCAGAACCCTGGAAATGTTGAGGAATCAGAAATACCCGTACCAAAGGCGGAGAGGAGGCAAAGGACTGAAATCAGAAAAACTGGGCTAAAAACAGGAAAAGTCTGAGGCAGGAGAAACTGACCCCCTGCCCATAATCAGTGACACCAAGCAAAAGGAATGGCCTGAAGTTAAAGTACTAGCGAACTTAAAAAACTAAAAAGAATAATCATTTATTTTCTTAAATGTTTCTAAATAAAACTTATTTTAATGTTGTTATAATATAGGTTGGAATATTTTAAAATAGTTCTTAATGAGAAGCGCTTTTTTTTTTGGAAATAGATATGCTCTGGGCTTGAAGTTCCCAACTTCAGAGATTTTAATTCAGTAGGGTAGGAACCAGGAACCTGTATTTTGACAGAGCTTATCAATCTAAAAATCACTGAGCCAGTGTAAAAAAATCTGTCTCCCATCAAAAGGTAAAATGGCCTAGAGAAACACAGGCATTTTCATTCATTGGTAAGCACTATGTGTCAGGTATTGTTCTAGGAACTGGGAATAGTGCAGTACCCCAAGTAATCCCCTACCCTCATGGAGTTTATGTTCTTGTGCAGGGAGATACACAAACACAGTATGTAGGATATGTAGTATCCTATATAATAAAGGCCCAGCGACCAAAAGGTGGAATAACCAGAACGACTGGTCGACCAGTCACTATGATGTGCACTGACCACCAGGGGGCAGATACCCAATGCAGGAGCTGCCCCCTGATGGTCAGTGCCCTACCACAGTGGGAGCACCACTTGGTTGACAGGGATGAGTGGCTACTCCCACTGTGAACCCCAGGCCAACCAGCAGGAACCCAGGCTTCAATTTTTGCCTCTTTGCCCCAGGCTCCTCCTCTTCACTCCCTGCTGCTTCCTCCAGAGGCCAAGCAACACCACAGCTGGGCTCACAGAGCTGGGAGGCAGGTTTGTGGCCACTGAGGGACTGAAGCCTGCTCAGTAGCCTCTCAGGGCTATTGTCCCTAGGCCCAGGAACCTAGGGACAATAACACTGTTCCTGATAGCATTGTCCCTGACCAGGTCCCCCTGGAGAGGTGAATGCTCTGGCTCCACAGAAGATGCAGGACCAGGGAGCAGCCACTCAGAGGGCGGGTTCACAGCCGCTTGGCAGACCAGGATGAGCGGCACTCACACAGTGAGCTGGTCCCTGCAGGTCATGTCCCGCACCAATGCACGAATCCTGTGCACCAGGCCTCTGGTTTAAAGTAGCACCAGGAGTTTATATGGAGAAACATATAGCAGGTAAGTGGTAAAAGGAATGGGGCCAGACAGAAGGTACCACATGGGTAAAGATTTGAAGGAAGTGAAGGTGAAGGTCAATGATATCTGGGAAAAAATGTTTGAGGCAGAGAGAACAGCTGATGCAAAGGCCTTGAGGGACATCAAGGAAGCCAGCAGAGCTGGAGCAGAGTAAGCCAAGGTAAGAGATCAAAAAGGTAAAGAGAGAGCTAAGTTGTATAGTATCTTGTAGGCCTGTGAAGGACTTTGGCTTTTACATCTGGTGAGATAGGAAGGCACAGGAATAAAAAAAATGAATGCTAAAGGAGCCATTTACATGGAACTTCTTAAAATAACTAATAACAAAATAATTTCAAGTGGATCTAGAAACCTTAGCTGGCTAAATTAAATCTAGACAATACCTAGTATAGTATCTTAAAGTAAGTGTTTAATAAACACTTGTGGAATGGACAGTATTTATACAGAAAAAGAAAATAAGTGTCTTTAAAATTTTTGTAAAATCAGAGGTAATGCATTAAGAATATAAGTTGCGCCCGGCCAGCATGAACGTCGACCTATGAACCAGGTCATGGTTTGATTCTGGTCAGGGCACACGCCCGGGTTGCGGGCTAACTCCTAGTGAGGGGTGTGCAGGAAGCAACTGATCAATGATTCTCTCTCATCGCTGATGTTTCTATCTCTCCCTCTACCTTCCTCTTGAAATCAATGAAAATATATATATATATATATATATATATATATATATATATATATATATATATTCATTGACATATATATATATATATCTTAGTTATCCTAAGATATAGTCTTTTATCAAAAATGCCTGGGCCTTCTTATAGAAGCCATCCAGCAGATTTTCCTATATAATACTTTATATGTTAGGCAAGAAGAGTCATTCTGAAACCTTTCTTTCCTCTTTTGTTTGAGAGTCAAACACGGTTTTTAACAGTCCACATTTTAAACTTAGCTTAAGTTTTCCTGGATTCTAGCTTTAAAAAACTAATTTATCATGGTTTATATCAAAACAGCTCTACTTTATTCTTTTAATAAAAGGAATTCCTATAGTTTCATCCCAAAGACTGATTTAGTTTTTCCTACAGACTGGATAGAGCCCAGGGTTTTGACCGTCTAAGGAGAATTCTCAAAGTGACAAACCCACCGCTCTGACAGCCAGGAACAGCGAAGGTACTCTCTCCTTCCCACTGTGACCACCACAGTTTCCAAATGAGTCCATCCACTCTTTTTGGTTGCCAGATACCATCTGTTTTAAATTATTTTGGTGATAAAAAATGCATGGACAGCAAAATAAATCTGTTCTTCTTTAGTATTAGTACTTCCTTCGCCTGATAATGGAATGGCACAAAAACATTACTCTTTTCATTGACAGAAAAGTGATGGGCAGATAGCTCCTTCAACTATAATAGAGCTTCCTACAGGAATGAAAGGAAATTGGCTTTTGCTGTTATGGACAGCTGCAGATATTTCTGGTGTCATACCATGGAATGATTTCCTAGGAAAAAAAAAATATAAATTCTGAAATCATATAATAAATTAAAAGCATTATCTTGCATGGCCAAGAGATGTATGCTCTTTTCTATGAACCAAACCACTGACAGATAAAATTCAGAATAAAAATATACAAAAAAAATTATCTGTGCTAGCATATGGAAACTAAGCTAAAGCCATATGAATAGTTCACTTTCATTCCTCTATCAATACATCCAAGATTTGCAATAATTTTACGGAAAGCAAAAAAAAAAAAAAAAAAAAAAGATATAAATCTAGATTAAACTGTTAGTCGGAAGTGTGAGATCAATTTTAATTAGAAAGAGTTGACTTCTGGTTACTTTTTTTTCAGTGTATTAACTGAACACAGGAAAGAAATAAGTAAGGGAGTAGAAAACTTGAGTAACTCGGTTTATCAGTTGTTAAGGTTGAAAAATGACAATGAAACCTCTGGGGTCAAGAATTTCAAAAGAGGCTGCTACACAGAGAAGACAGACCAAATCAGCTTACCACTTGAACCATTTTGAGATATCTGGCATATCTTGGATCCTTGGCTACAGTTAAGATATTTTCTGCTGTTACTTCACTTTCCTGTGGTCCAGATTCTTGTAAACTGTTCTGCTGTAGAGAGTATTGCGTGTAAATCTTTAGACAGTTCACAAAAGGGGTCCATTATGTTACTTAAAAGGGAAGTTTCTTTTTATAATTCTAAAGCAATTAATATCAGAAAAAATAATATTTATGAATTTAAATAGCAATAATTTAATTATAAGATGTTTCCAAACATTTATAAACATTTAAATGATATCAGAGGAAGCCATACTTAAAAACATTATATTGTTTCTTAAGAATGCAAATATATTTATGGAAATAAAAATATTAGAATTTTGCTTTACTTTTCTCCAGGGTGCTGATATCAACTCTAATGGACAATGAACTAATTTTCCAGGTATCTACCATCTACACAATCGAATTCTTCATTTACTAAAAAATCTTTTTCTAAGTAGCTATAGCTATTCTAACATCTCAGAAAGCAATGCCTAGAGAATTTATGGAAGAAAAACCCACTTTTCAGACAAAATTTATCTGTTTTTGTGTGAACTATTAATAGTAGCATTCTTCACAAAGTCAAGATTAAAGACTAAATACTACTTACAGCAAAATATATTGGAGAATGATCTTTTATCTTACGAGCAGTTCTCACAGAACTGTGTCCAGACAGCTACCCTGCCCTTTCTTAAGTGCAAAGGTAGGCCTATCTCTATAAAGTTATGGATTTTTCTACCAACCTGAACATTTAAAGTAAGTTTCCTATTACGAATTTTCACTCATTATTCATATATCAGCATTAAGAGGAATTTCCTTAACAGGATGAAATCAATTTTATATCTATGCTGAAATGTAGACAAGTCAAGAAATACTTTTAAATATCCATAGTTTAAAAAATATGAATTATAAAGTAAGGTTCTTCCTCAGATAATTCAGATAGAAATTAAATCTGTCAAAAAAACTGAAGTGACTAAGACATCCAAAAATCCCTCAGGTTTCTATTGTTATATGACACCATTAATTGCACAAAAAAGGAGTGTGTGTGTGTGTGTGTGTGTGTATTTATTCATGGGCAAAATAAATACAAAAAGTCAAAAACATTTAATTGAAGAATTCAAACAATACCCAAGTAAGTTCTTAAAAATTATGAATAATAAATTCATACAATATTACAGTCAGATAAATGATAATTACATGCAGGCCCTCTGGATCTCAAAACATAGCTGTTAACTTTTGCCTACTAATCAGAACCTCAACAAGGTTAATTATGACTGGTTTTACACCTTTCCTATTTGAATGACCCAATAAATTCTCCATCAAATCTCTCAATTGTCCTTCATTTTATTCTTAATCCACACAACTGGATGTTCTATTGTGAGTAATGATGAAATCTGTACCATAAAATTAAAGTTGCAGAAAAATCAGAATGCAAATCTTGGATCTTTGACTCATATAGAGATTGCAAGGAATGGATGATTAAGAAAAAGGCATGATCATCCTTTATCTGATAAGTGAGTTGATTGTAATGCCAATGAAAATTCCATATTAAGCAATACTTAATACTTAAGTCCATTTCAAAATATTTTACAAAAATATACCAATTAACAATGGAGACAAAATAAGTTGATTTGAATATTAAGAACATGATAAGAAATTATATTATTAAACTAATTAACACACAACTTTACCACAATTTTTAAACTCAGGAGACCATCAGAACTTCAAAAATTCTCCAAATGAAATAGTATACAATTTAAAAATAAAATTGCCAGATATATCAGGTTATTCTGAATTTTAGAAAATTTTGCTGTGATTACTCATAATAAATTTTTTGAGACCTTAAATAAGCAAGACAAATACAACTGCCTAAGTTTTCAAAAACATATTATAGGTGGCATTCATAATAACACTTGGGAAATTAATATTCAAAGTTACACAGATACCACTTAAAAATTTATATGAACATATGACAGTTAGTATCCACTCTATTAGGTAGAGTGAAAACACTTTCTTAATATTTTTATATGTCATATTTTAGAAAAAGGGTGGTCCATATTTAATTGAAAGAACCTTGTAAAGTTAAACATCTGCATTTCCTCATCTATCATGTATTCCAATAGCCTTTCATAATGGAATTTCCGATAGTAATTAAATGGTTCTTAAATTTTCTAGTAGCTAATGGTTAAGTAAATGGTTATCTAATTTATTCCAGACACCTATATCTAAATATATGGCTCCGGTTGAGCAATGACCTATGAACGAGGAGGTCATTGTTCAACTTCCGGTCAGGGTAGATGCCCAGGTTATGGGCTTGATCCCCAATGTGAGGCATGGAGGAGGCAGCTGATCAATGATTCTCTCTCATCATTGATGTTTCTGTCTCTCTCTCTTTCTCTCTCTCTCCCTTCCTCTGAAATCAATAAAAATATAATATCTCTATCTATCTATCTATCTATCTATCTATCTATCTATCTATCTATCTATATGCACACACATATATGGGTCCTCCTACAGTGCCTCATACCACATGGGCTCAATATGTTTAAATGAACTCAACATAGTTGCTGAAGGCAGTGTAGTGTAGCAGGTAAGACCTAGGACTTTTGGCACCAGATGCCTGGGTTAAAATTGCAGCTCTTACACTTACTGTTTGATCCTTAGCAAATTACTTATCCTCTGTATACTTTATTAGACACATATGTAAAATAGAAGTGATCATATAGTATTTACTTTGTACAGTTGTTATGAGGATTAAATAAGTTATGAAAAGCACTTATAAGTATGCTTGGCATCCTTTATGTGTTAGTCATTATCATCATGGTCAATACAATAATGATCTAAAAAAGTCCTGTGCAAAGTACCTCCATGTACAAATGCAGAATTTCATATAGATAGGGAGTGTACTTGTTCAGTATTATTTGGTAGACCACTACTCTAGTGATGACTTTATTTGGAATTTTAATACCTCACTGAGATACACTAGAGATTATTCTAAATCAATTTTTATTTCTTGAAATAAAATTAGGAATTTGAAGTTATACAGAGGATAAATGGACATTACAGCATAAGAACCAAATGTAAAATATGAGCCTCACTATGTTACAGATCTGAACAAATCAAATCCAGAAACACACTTTTTTAGACATTTAGTATTTCTTAGATCAGTATCTCTCAACTTTCAAGGACCTGCAAACCACCTAGGGATCCTGTTAAAATGTAGATTCTGGCCTGGCCGGTGCTGCTCAGTGGTTGAGCATAGATCCATGAACAAGACTGATTCCTAGTCAGGGCACATGCCTGGATTGCAGGCTTTATCCTAAAGTAGGGGACATGAAGGAGGAAGCCAATCGATGATTTTCTCCCACTACTGATGTTTTCATCTCTCTTTCCCTCTCCCTTCCTCTCTCTGAAATCAGTAAAATATATTTTAAATAAAGCAGATTCTGAGCTAGTAAGTCTGGGGTGGGGCCTGAGCTGAGATTTCTAATAAGCCCCCTGGTGATGACCACACTGCTGATGCATGGAGCACACTCTGAGTAACAAAACATTAGATAATACAGGCAGTTACTGTCAATTACATTGTACAGGAAAAAGACATTGTGGCTCTGCAAGAAGATGTCAGAACTTTTCAGAGATGCTCCAGAATTTACATTTCACTGACAAGATGCCTGGGACTCACTACAGCAAGTAATAAAGAGATGAAAGTTGGCCACAAAAATCTTATCTGGTGAATCTGAGTAATGAGCATTTGGATATTCCCTGTACTGTTCTATTATCGTGTATAGGTGAGAGCTTTTATAATAAAACGTCTAAAAAGTACTTTTATAAAAACTTAGAAAAAAATTTCCATCGTGAGCTTGAAGAACATAGTTACATTTAAGACTTTTCCTAGACCTGTATAGATCAAAGAAAATATAAACTTCAAGAAGCCCTTCAAAATAACAAAACAGCCAATTTTTTTTTCAAACTTCATTTTCTCTTAAGGCTTTAAAATATTATTATTCAAAGCATTACATGCATAATTTTTTCCATCAAGTCTGCTGCTTAGGTCTATCTGGCGCAACCAGAAAAATCTGCTCATGTTTCTTGGAAGTTAACACTCACCTGTGATGGCTCTGAAGGGGTTTCATTTGTGACTCCAGGGACACTTACAGGGGAGACTTCGACTGTGACATCATCTAGGCCTGGGATCGATGACAACTGAGAAAAGAAAATTAATGTTGGTATATGAGGATAATAACAGTGCTTAAACATCGTAAGTTTCTCGGGGTGTGTTTTAAATTCCTGTTATTTTTTTTAAGCCAATAGAAACACATTTATAAAATCTCATTTTTGGTGTTTGAAATTCGCCATGCCATAAACTACTTAAAACAGGAAGGGCAATCACAAATAAGATATTTTTGAACAACTTCTTACAAATCTAATTTAGATAAAAAACATTCTTTGCCCAGGAAGTACTTTGAACATATATAAGAAATCCTAGGGTAAGTAATGAGAGCATGGGCTTTGGAGTCCAAATGCCTATGTTTAGGTCACAAGCCTGTGCCATTGTACAAATCTTCTTAAGCCTCAATTTTCTCACCTGTAGAGTGGGATAAAAAAAAATTTACCTCACAAAAATGTTGTTAAAAGATTATAAATAAACACACTTTGTAAAAACAAAGTACTGTGTAGCACTTTTTTATAAAAAATATCTCATCTGGGGATATTTTTTCAATTGATTTCATTGATTTTTTTTTAGAGAGAGTGGGAGAGGGAGTGGAAGGAGAGGAGAGGAATGGAAACATCAATATGAGAGAGACACATCAATTGGTTGCCTCCCATACTTGTCCCAATGGGAGCTAGGGATCCAATCTGTAACCCAGATATGTGCCTTTGACCCAGAATAGAACCAGAGGCAGGTGTGTAGGCTGATGCTCCAACCAGTTAGTCGCATGGCCACGGCTTTGTAGCACATTTTTAAGTATCAATTACTTGAGAAATGATAACTCTTTTTCTAAAGATATTTATTATTATTTTTAAAAGACTTCTAAGACATACTGTTGTTGTTTCTTAATTTGCTGAGTTTAGAGAGAGAAAGAGAGAGAGAATATTGATTTGTTGTTCCATCTAGTTGTGCATTCATTGGTTGATTCTCCCATGTACCCCGACTAGGAATCTAAACAACTGAGCTACCTGGTCAGGGCGGACAAACCTTGTCATCACATTTTAATGTCTGACATAGCATACTCTTCTCTTCTTTCTTTCAACATTTACCACTGAATGCTACTAAAGTGTGTTTATTTTTCATGCACAAAAGATGGGTGTGCTGTCAATGGTTGAGCATTTCAGATTGGAGTTGCACAATCCATGCAAACCCTCTTTTCTGATTTCATCTTGATATCAATGATATACATTTGTCAGATGTTTGGCTAATTTTGGAGATTAACTCTATGACTATTGAAATAATTAAGGTTAACTTGTCCACATAGTAACTTAATTTATGACCTTGGACTCTAATTCAAGAATTCCCCAAACATTAAAACAAGGCACATTACTATAATAAAGAATAATGAAAAAAATTCCCAATATTAATAAGACCTGAAGCAGTGGTGTTTATTGGGAACTGTTGACTGATGACAGGACTTAGCACAGTGGCTATGGCCCAAATAGTTTCAAGTGGGCTGCTAGAATTTCTTGCACATATTCAAGGCCAGGAATCCTAAATTTTCTAAGCTAAAGAAATGTTCTGAGAGAATTATAGTGGCTGAAATCTATTAAGAGATACAGAAAGTATAAACTAGACATCCTGATCCTTATGCTAAAGATATAAATCATTTTATTTCCCAATAAATATGTAATATTTATTTTTCAGATAATTTCTTATAAAATGACAAAAATGTAAAAATAAGCTTGTGTTTCCCTTACTTTATAAGCCCCCCACAAAATATGCAAGGTTTCAAATCAAAACATTCTTCTATTTTTGCTAGTTATCTTTTGTAATTTCTGACATCAAAATATGTTTCTTCATTATGTATTTAATATATTTATAAATATAAAATAGTTGATATTTTCTCCAAATTTTGTTCTGGAGACATTTCAAGTTTTATATAATATTTACTGTGTCAAATGATTACTATTAAGATAACTGAAAATTTTCCATCAAATGAAGCAAATTATATAATAGTTAAAACATGTTACACTATGCTTTTCATTAGTAGAATCAAAGAAATCTCAATTCATGTGTACATTTATTTTTTATATTTTTATTGATTTCAGAGAGGAAGGGAGAGAGAGAGAGAGAAAGAAACATTAATGATGAGAGAGAATCATTGATTGGCTGCCTCCTGTAGGCCCATACTGAGGATGGAGTCCACAACCTGGGCATGTGCCTTTGACCGGAATAAAACGTGGGACCCTTCAGTCCACGGGCCGATGCTTGATCCACTAAACCAAAACAGCTAGGATCATATGTACATTTAAATACATTCAGGTTCATAATGAATTTCTTTTTCTTTTTAAATTATAATGAATTAAAAAATAAAAAACACTGTGCCACCTCAGGATGCAGGAGCTGTTTAATTCGTTATTAAGTGCAATGAAGTATAACTGAGAAAGCTGATAAGTGTAAAGCAAAGTTTATCCCATAAATTATTCAGAAATACAAACCTTTGCATCTAAAATATTGAGAGTTGTTTCAATTTGTTGGATACGAAGAGAAAGGTCTGCCAGCTTCTGGAAAATATTAGAAATAAAAGAATGAAGTCTGATTAAAATAAAAGTTATGGTTAACAAAGGGCAGATTGGAAAATAATAAAAACTATGGTTTAAGTATGTAATTTTCTAATATACTCTCTCATTTACATGAGTAGGAATAGGAACTAAAGTATCCTATTATTTTCATTAGCATGCTTCACAACTATTTTATAAAACTGTTTCACAGACAAGAAGTTACATTCACAGTCTTATCAAACTCATTATCAGAGCGGCAATCAATACTGGGATCAGAATGTAAACTCCTACAGTTTCTGTTCACTGCTATACCCCCAGTGCCCAAGATATTACTTGATATCTAAGAGGAGCCTAATAATTATTTGTTGATGAGTGAAGAAATTCTTCACAGAAAACAGTAATAAAAAATTAACACTAGACAACCTGGAACAGTCTCTGCCTTTATAAATTACTTTAACACATAAGTATATACAATTAATCCTAAATTCAAACTTTTCAGGTTTGAAAAGTAAAAGGAGATGAAATTGAAAGATGAGCAGTTCATGTTGAAAAGAATTAAAACAAACCAAAACACACACACACACACACACACACACACCAGAGTTCTAAAAAGCAAAAGGAATCTACCATCAAAATCCCAGTTAAACTAGAACCATAGGTTTACTGTGCTCTAGTTACTCCGCACAATTAAATTATATCTATCATCTATCACCACACAAAAGTTACATCATAGATTATAAACCATAAGAGTATTTACTTACAGTGCCCTAATCCTAAACATTATTATATTTAGTGACAGTGCAAAAGCAGTTTGCCAGTTTTCTAGTTGGCCAATATATAGCATTTTAACTGCTTTCTAGGATATTATCTCTTAAGCAGATTTGGTCATTTCTCTCCTTTCACATTTAGAAAGAGAAAAACTGGAAGCCACACGGAGTAGTTAGTGCTTTTTCACTTATTTTTAAGATGAGGATCTTGATATTTTTAAAGATATAATTCACAAATAAAACATCAAAATCAAGTTTTAATGGCATTTAAAGCTAAGTTTAACTTTGATTTCTAGGATTTGTTCACAGAAGGCTTTTATATAAAGGTAACACAGGTTTATAAAATACCGTATATATGAATTCCTCCCCAAATTATAAGTGTTTTTCTAAAAATAATGAAAATTACATTTTGGTTAATTAATCTTTTAATTCACTAGAGAAGCTTAGCAATTGCAGAAATCCTACAGCAAATGAGTGGGTAAACTGAATGATAATTTCTGACTTATACATATCATTTGAAATTTCACACCGAATGTATGAAGAAGGAACTATCAATATGACAATTTTCAGCTGCAAATAAATAGTAAGTCTTCAAACAAGTAAAATAATCTGAGCTCAAATACTGTAATTCCAGGTACTTTTTATTTTCTAGGACCTTTTTTGAAAGAATTTTACACTGTTTTGAAAGAGTTTTACACTGTTGAAAGATGATGCTAGCCTAGCAGGTGTGGCTCAGTGGTTCAATGTCGACCTATGAACCAGGAGATCAGTTCAATAACTGGTCAGGGCAACATGATGGGGTTTTTTTTGGGTTCAATGACCAGTATATGTGTGCAGGAGACAGCCGATTAATGATTCTCTCGCATCATTGATGTTCCTATTTCTCTCTCCTCCCTTCCTCTCTGAAATAAATAAAAATATATTTTAAAAATACACAGAAAAGAAACATGATGCCATAGATGATGATGATGTATCAATGTAGATGGTAACAAATGGATTTTAACAAATTCCCCCTACTGGTGGGGGATGCGGATTAGCAGGAAAGATTGTGTGTGGAGGTCAGGGGTTAGCAAGTATATGGAAACTCAGTGCTTTCTGCTCAGTGTTTTGTGAACCTACTAAAACTGCTCTAAAATTAAAGCTTATTAATTAAAAAAGATGGAAATTACTCAGTAATTCCTAGATAAGATTTTTCTTATCCAAAGCTAATCATCATCATCCTAATAGAGGAATATGCAAATTAGCTGGGACGCTGTACCATCATGATTGAATAGCAGCGACCTGAGGCTGCATGATGCCTGGCCAGGAGGAGGGACCCTGTCCCACATGGCTTGACTGGGGACTTTGGGCCATGCCCCACCTTGCCCCAGGGCTGGTCTGGAGGACCTCAGGCTGCAGGCCTCAGGCTGCACCCCCTGCCTGGTGAGGCCTGACCTGGGACCTCAGGCCGCATGTGCCAGGGGATCCAAGACTGTGCCCCCTACCTGGCGCTGGGCGCAGAGGCGCTTGATGGGGAGTGGTGGGGGAAGGCCGAGTCTGGGTCTCACCCAATGAGAGTGGAACTGGCCAAGTCTGGATCTCCTGCATTTTTGAAGCATGTGTGGGTGGTGGGCGAGGCCTTGACTCTAGGCCTCCACAATGCACCCCAGACTCTGACAGGAGAGAGGTTTTTATATACATTTTACTCATTTTCTTTCATCTCTGACACTTCTATTATAGACAAAAGGGCAAATAGCAATATTAAAATATTTCCTCCACTTAATTCCCTTTTAATGTGCATGAATTTCATGCATCAGGCCACTAGTAAATAATATATTCTTTTCTTACTAAGACAAAGGATGCTACTGTGCTATAAACACCACAAATCAAATTTTCTAAGACAGATGCTGTTTATTTGGAATTATTTAGAAATTGGTATTAAATTCTTTTCAAGGTTAGATCATAATATAAACTGTCCTTTAACTAATACTCAATGACTCATATTTAAAAATTCATATTAAATTTTTTCAGGGTTAAATCATAAAACTAAATTGTCCTTCAATGAGTAGTCAGTTGATGATTCATACCAGAGAGGCTAAGGATTGAAATTCAAGTCCTAGTAAAGAGGAAATGAGAATGAAAGTGTTTATTTGGAAAACTACTTGTTGATAAGGAAGGTTAAAGAGGGGTGGTGAAAAGTTATACAGTCGGCCCTCCATACCTGCAAGTTCTGCATCCTTGGATTCAAACAACGGAGAACAAACATATTAAGAAGAATGTTGCCGAAGCCGGTTTGGCTCAGTGGAAGTGTCGGCCTGGGGACTGAAGGGTCCCAGGTTCGATTCCGGTCAAGGGCATGTACATTGGTTGCGGGCACGTCCCTAGTGGGGGGTGTGCAGGAGGCAGCTGGTCGATGTTTCTCTCTCATCGACATTTCTAACTCTCTATCCCTTTCAATTCTTCTCTGTGTAAAATCAATAAAATATATTAAAAAAAAAAAAAGAAGAATGTTATGTATTGCTGACGTTTACTAACTAGATGGACTACAATGGTTGTGTCTGTATTAAATATACTGACTCTTTTTTTTCTTGACATTATTCCCTAAATAACACAGCACAACAATTATTTAAATAGTATTTACATTGTATTAGCTATTTTAAGTAATCTAGAAATGACTTGAAACGTACAGGAAGATGTGTGCAGATTATATGCAAATACAACACCATATATATATGTATATGTATATATATATATATATATATGTATATGTATATATATGCGACAGAATGACTGAATGACCAGTCACTGTGACACTCACTGACCACCATGGGGCCAGACACTCAATGCAGTAGCTGACCCCTGGTGGTCAGTGCACTCCCACAGCCAACCTCCTGCAGCTCCTCCCCCCGTCCGCCCTTGATGGCCCAGATGAGGCTGGCCAGCCAACCTCCGTGGCCCCTTCCCCTGGCTAGCCAACTTCCCGAGGCCACAATCGGCCAGATTGCAGGCCAGGCTTGAGGGATCCCACCTGTGCACGAATTCGTGGACTGGGCCTCTAGTTTTACATAAAGGACTTGAGCATCCCCAGATATTAGTGTCTCTGCAGGTCCTAAAAGCAATCTCCTGTGGATACTGAGGAATTACTTTTTTTGAATGCAGATTCATATGGTATATTAACCTTTGGCTTTAACACTCATTCTACCTATTCTCATCTATTTTATCAAAACCTCACCAAACCCTACCTGCTTTGGCTCAGTGGATAGAGCACTGGAATGCAGACTGAAGGGTCCTAGGTTTGGTTCTGGTCAAGGGGGGCACATGCCAGGGTTGTAGGGGTTGGGCAGGAGGCAGGCTATCAATGATTCTCATCATTGATTCTATCTCTTTCTCCGTCTCCCTTTCTCTCCGAAATCAATAAAAATATATATTAAAATAAAAAAACTTCACCAAAATGAAATGATCTTTTATAAAAAAATAAAGACAAGATCATATGAGTGATTTATTCATGCAAGACATGAAAGACACTGATCTAAACATCAATATACTTTATTTTATAACAACTTATCTAAACATCCTTGATATCTATTCTAATAACAACTATAATTGTAAAATACAGTAGTCCCCCTTTTTCTATGGTTTTAGTTACCCGGATCAACCATGGTCCAAAAATGTTAAATGGTAAATTCCAGAAATGATTCATAAGTTTTAAATTGCATGCTATTTTGAATAGCATGATATAATCTTGATTTATCACCCACCTATTTCTAAGGTAGTGCATTTTATTCAAGTGCAAAAGAAGATGAGAAGAAAAAATACGAAGTGAATAATTAAACATGGAAACAAAAATAAAATCCCATGTTTTTCATATTTGTAAAATAGCTAATTCGCTAAAAGAAAAACAGTATTTAAAAAATAATGGACCTCTTGGTATATCACACTGGACTGCACATGTCCTAGAAGCCAGAAAGAAAAGCGATTGCTTATTTTATTTATTTATTTATTTATTTATTTATTTAAATATATTTTATTGATTTTGTACAAAGAGGAAGAGAGGGATAGAGAGTTAGAAACATCGATGAGAGAGAGTCATAGATCAGCTGCCTCTTGCACACCCCCTACTGGGGATATGCCCGCAACCAAGGTACATGCCCTTGACCGGAATCGAACCCAAGACCTTTTAGTCCCTAAGCCGACACTCTATCCATTGGGCCAAACCGGTTTCGGCAATTGCTTATTTTATTAAGCTTCATTTGACACACAAGCCCAGACGTTGTAAAAGTTGCAAAAGCAGCTGTAAACGTGTAGCATTACATAGGGTTTTAAGCAAAACATCATTTGGTTGTAGATTAAGTCCAATGGTGGACTTAAAACTGAATATAGAAGATAAGCACTATAGCCCTAGCCAGTTGGCTCAGTAGATAGAGCACTGGCCTGTGGATTGAAGGGTCCTGGGTGCGATTCCAGGTAAGGGTATGTATCTCTGTGTCAGGCTCTTCCCTGGTCTGAGATCCCCTGGTTGAGGCTCATGCAGGAAGCAACTAATCGATGTGTTTCTCTCATATAAGATATTTCTCTGTCTTTTTCTTTCTCTCCCACTCTCTGTAAAAATCAATGAAAAAATATCCTTGGGTGAGGATTAAAAAAAAAGAAGATAAGCACTATAAAGTTTTTTTAGATTATGTGAGAATTCTAAGCACATCTGCCTATACTTAAGGTATTTCTTTTAAAAAAAAAAAGCATTTTACATCTTAAAAATGATTAAAAACTCAGTGTTCTAGGCATGTTACAAGTCTGAGTCAAAATAACACATCTGACTGCTCTATTTATTGGGTTCCTTTGACTTTAAAATTCACATAAAAGGTTAAATTTCTGCTGAGTTTTATTTGCAATGTGCACAGAACTTGCACTGTGCCCCCCTCCCCCATTTAAATTTGTAGTCTCAGAAAGATTTTGCTGATTAGAGCCAGAATAGAAATGCTTACTGGGGATCTGTGAAGGAAGAGATGACCCTAAGTAACTCTGTAACTCTGATTCAACTACTTTCCTTTCTCCATTTTCTAATTCCTCTCCTACCCTGGTTCCAAGCATTAGAGTTACAAAGTAGCCTGGTATCCAGAAAGCTTTTTAAAAAATCAAGTCTTTACCTTTTTCTTTATTAAAGAACTCTAAAGACCAGTATTAGTGATGAAGAGAGCCTCAACAATTTCTTGAAACTTAATTTCAGGTTGAGTTTAGCAGTGAATGATGTTGCTACAGTTTAGTTCAAACCAGATTATGTGAAAAACAAAAAAAAAATGAAAATAACAGGTTCTCCCCTCTTTCTCAGTTCACTTCCAGTTAAAAAAAATAACACCCGAGGTTCACTCTTTCTGTGAAGGGAAACCCAATCAATTGGTTCCTATTTCACACTTCAACTAAACAAGGACTACAGACCTAGTAGGTGCTATTAACAATTTATAACATAATTCGAAAAACCACATCAGTCTTAATGTGGGAGAGAAAAGGGCACCTTATGTTTAAATACATATATTATACCTATTTTTTAAATATATGTTTTATTGACTTTTTTACAGAGAGGAAGGGAGAGAGATAGAGAGCTAGAAACGTCAATGAGAGAGAAACATCGACCAGCTGCCTCTTGCACACCCCCTACCGGGGATGTGCCCCACAACCAACGTACATGCCCTTGACTGGAATCGAACCTGGGACCTTTCAGTCCACAGACAGATGCTCTACCGCTGAGCCAAACCGGTTTTGGCTATTACACCTATTAAAAAGGCATTATATCAAATGGACATGGCATAGCAAAAAAAAAAGAGAATGCAAATCTAAACAGTTGTTAAGAGTGTCTGCTGGTGCACTGAAGGGTCAGGTCACAGCTTTGATTCAGAGCACCCGTGGTAGGCAAATAATTGATGAGTCTCTCTTACATCTATGTTTCTCTCTCTCTCTCTCTCTCTCTCTCTCTCTCTCTCTCTCTCTCTCTCTCTCTCTCTCTCTCTTTCTCTCTCTCTCTCTCTCTGTTTCTAAAAAAACATCAATGGAAAAATATATCCATAGGTGAGGATTACCTAAATAAATAAATAAATAAATAAATAAAAACTTTTGAAATAGCTATAGAGGACACCACAGTCTCACTTGACAGTGATGTAAACATACCTCTTATTCATTCCAGAAGATGCAATATAACAGAATAGTGAGACATTTTTGCATTTTTCAGTTAATGGATCAGAGTTGGAATCCCAGCTCTGCTACTTTCTAGCTGTATGTGGGCAAATTAGAGCAGTGACTGCAGCTTTAAATACTATGCACTCAAATACATGTTGAATATGTGAATGGATGATTAAGCAAATGATTTAAACTTCTCTACATCTTGGTTTCTGTATTTCTAAAAGAGTGAAAACTGGACCTCTCCCAAAAGGCTGAGATAATTAAATGCATGCAAAGCATTTAGTACCATGCCTAACACAGAACAAGCACACAATAAATATGAGTTATTGTCATCATACTAAGCAAACAGCCTACATATATATCCAAATTGTTGAAATATGGATTATAAAACATGAGTTACTATCAACTTAGATGATCATCTAAGAAGAAAAAGGAAATAAACAGCATTTAAACTTCATGAGTTTTTGGTCTAGTTTTTGTGTGTAGAGTTCAAGTAAGTACAAGGGACTATTGAAACAGTCAAAACAGTTGAGGGGAAGTTTAGAGAGGAACAGAAGGAAAGAAAAGAATAGATCATGAGGCTATGATGATTAATAAGCAATCAACAAATAAGAGATGGTTATTGTTTAAATAACATTCACTTCTCAGTGAAAACTGTCAGGCACTACAAAGTTGAGGGGCTGTCCTTGGCCCAGAGAAGGTTAATTAAATTGCTCTCATAGGTCTGTTTGTTGTTGTTTCTTTTTTTGTTTTTTTTTAAACTGGTGACAAAAAATATGGGGATGGAGTATTTGCTCCTTTCTGCTAACAATCCTGAAATAATCTCCCTTCAGATACTTCATCTTAACCTGACATAAAAAAAAAAAATAAGGGACTAAATCCTTGGCTTACTGCTTTTAAGCCAACAGTGTAAGGTAAAACTCAGGGAAGTAAGCACCTAGTCTTTGGGTGATAAAATATATTGACTTGAGCCAGTTAATCTACCCTGTTTCCCCTAAAATAAGAGTGTCTTATATTAATTTTTCCTCCCAAAGTTGCGCTAGGTCTTATTTTCAGGGGATGTCTTATCTTTCCATGCGCTAGGTCTTATTTTTGTAGGATATCTTATTTTCGAGGGAAACATGGTATCAACAATCATTTCACTTCTTTTTGTCTTAGAGAGAAGACAGAAAAGATTTTGATAACTAGACAAAAACAGTGGCTGGAATCTATAAGTGAAAATAGTTTTCCTGACTCATGCGATTTTTATTAATAACACACCCAACAAATACTCCACTTGCTAAGGTTATAACTTCTATTAAATATAAGACAGAATGAACTGAATATTGTTTATTTAATTGGCTCACCTGTGAATTATCAAATTTTACCCTTTTCTCCTTTCTTAAAATCAATTTTAACCCATGTTTCTCCCCCCCCCTTTTTTTTTGGCCTTTATTTATTTTGATGATTTATTTTTTATTAAATTTATTGGGTTGACATTGGTTAATATGATCATATAGGTTTTAGATGTAGGTTTCTATGTTACAATAATTTGTATATTGCACTGTGTGCCCACTATGCAAAGTCAGATCTTCTCTCTTCATCATATATTGGGTCCCCTTAATCCCCTCCTTCCCTCTGTCTGGCAAGCCTTTATTTTTCAAAGACAGGGATGCCTGGATCTAGCAACTAATCCTTAATTGGGTACTTAATCTTCACAAGTCATTTATCTGCAGACAGTATTTTTATTTCCATAATGAGATTTGATACCAAAGTTATGTTTTAGGCTACCTTCTTAACCATTTTTGGGGGTCAAGGAACATAAATAACTTTAATGTAAACTGAAACAATGTGTACCTAAAAATGTAAATCTTTGGGGTAAGAGAAACAGCCACTTTTTAAATTTAAAAAAAAAAAAAAAAAAAAAAGCTTTCAACTGTGATGTTTTGGAATCCCTTGTGCTGTCTTTAGTCACAGTAAGCCTTCCTGAACTATTTCCCAGAGGCCTGTAGAAAATTCAGCAGAGAGAGGGGGTACAGGATCAATGTAACAGAATCAGAAGCAAAGAGGCCTTAGAATGTGTTAACGTAATAACTGAGTGAGCAAGCAGGACATGCTATGTGAACAGACGACAATTCTCGTTTTACTCATGTGCTGCTCAGGAAGCCGGATGCCAGGACCTACCTCCTCGCAAACTGTCGAGAAGCGGTTGAGGAACTGTACAGTGTGCACCACAAACTGGTTTAGAAATGCCACCGTTCTTTTCTGCTGAATAGCTGGCACCTGCGTTACGTGAGAGAAAGACGTGATTGGTACAGGAGAAGCGTACCCCGGGCAACCCCTTTGATGTGAGTGACAGGGGGTGCTTTGCTGTGAGGTATGAGCCCTTTTTTCCTACCCCGTGGGGGCGGGGCGTCCCAGGAATGACAGAGGCTCGCTCCCGAAAAGTTTCAGAATTGGCTCTGAATTCAAAAGTACCAACTTGTCGCTGAGGACCACACCCAGAAACACACACACACACAAAACCCAGGGGGCAGAATGAAAGAGGTGGGGTGAGAGGTCACAGGGTGAGGGGCTCTGGTCGCCAGTGAGCCACCCTGGAGAAGGCAGACTCGTGACCCGGGAAGCGAAGGCTGGGGGAGGCACGCGAACCCCTGAAACAGCTCGGGAACCCCTTTGGAAGGTGAACAGTGGGACTCTCCCACCCGGGGACGGTCGGAGAGGGGGGAGGTCAGGGACAGGGGGAGACATGGGAGAGATGGGGTCTCCCTGCAAATCGGGCGTCCCTTTACCATCCTCCTCCCAGGTCACCGGAAGTCCAGCGCCTTCTTTTACAAACCTTGGTCAGGTCAATGCCTGAGCCCATGAGAGGAAGCCCGTCCTCATCCATCTCCTCAGCGGGCGGGGGACCCAGGCATCGCCCACAAACCCCCCCAGATGTGGTCCCTCCAACCCCGTAATAGTTGTCAGAGCGTCTCTCCTCCCCCCTCCCCCCAGGCCCCGCCTCCCGGTTCCCTTCCTTCCGGAAGGAAACGCCTTCGCAGGCCAATCACTCAGCGGCTCTCGGACAGCCCGCCCTCCCGCCTGGCATGCTGGGATTGGTAGTTCTCGGTCCAGATTGTAATGTCAACCCAGGGGTCGCGAGGTGCAGGGAGGCTGAGGTTCTAGCAGGAAAAACCTTAAAAACGTGGCAAAAAGTATTAAGCAAAAAATAAAATAAAAAAAAATGCCCTTTTGAGTGATCTCTGCCTAGTCCTGTTATCTAAGTAGCTCATTTGTTAATCAAATAGTCACTTGTTTATCAAGGGAAAATAGCATTCAGTGTTGGCTTTGTCAGGGAACTGAGCCCCCTGATCTAAGAGTGGCTCCACCAAGTCCCTTTACTAGGAAGCACATTCAGCATCTCAGCATCAGTGCACCACAGGATTGAACTAAAAGCGCATCTTGGGCTTTAGCTCACGTATTTTGTGAATTAGCAAGATATGTCGTAAGGTATCCAAAACCCTAAGCTCCTAAGGGAGTTAAGCCTAAAACTGGATGTAATTAAGCAAGCATTTAGGTCCTGTAAACAAAATAAAGACACTGTGCATGCACTAAATTTTGAGATGGAGAAAGTTCAAAATGTTTTCCATATAAATTAATGGTAATTGCTTCTTCGTTTCACACCATTTCAGCCTAGGAACCCTCTACTTTTGGATAGAGGAGGTAACTTGTAATAGGCTAGGGATTGGTTGATTTGCATATAAAAACATGCTTTCAAGTAAGTTGTTTTATTACCTTTAGGCATCAGTTAGCCACAAATGTCAGAGCTTCAAAATTATAGAAAATAGCCCTAACTGTTTTGGTTCAAGAGATAGAGTGTCCGCCTGCGGGTTGAGGGGTCCTGGTTTGATTCTGGTCAAGGGCTCAGGCCTGGATTGCAGGATCCATCCCAGTGGGAGGTGTGCAGGAGAGAGCCACTTGATGCTTTTCATTTGTTTCTCTCTCTCACTCTCCCTTCATCCCTGAAATCATAAAAACAGATTTAAAAAAGAATACAGAAAATAAATATCCTATAAAATAAAATCCTAATATGCTAAGTATCCAGTTGTTCATTCAACCAATCAAAGTGTAATATGCTAATGACATGCTAAGGCCATTCAACTGCTCACTATGATGTTCACTGCTCCTGCTAGTAGGTTAGCTTGCTGCGGGGTCTGGCTGATCTGGATTGAACCAGATGGGAAAGACACACCCTGGAGGCCTCCTGCTGTCCCTCCCCATCCTGGTCTGCACCTTCTCCCAACCTGGGACCCCTCTAGGGATGTCAGAGAACCTGTTCCAGCCTAATCCTGCAGGCCAGGCCAAGGGACCCCACTGGTGCATGAATTCATGCACCGAGCCTCTAATAGTCAATGTAATGAGACCTGTAATGAATGTTTGCTTAAAAAACAAATGCAAAATCTAAGAAGACACATAACACTCACCTTGCATATGTAGACTTCCAGGTAATGAGTTCAGTAAGGTACCTCTCTCCTGAGTCTAGGATCTCAATTCAGTTTCCTAAGAGGTGAGCACAAGGGAGAAGTAACTGCCTGGCTATGTAAGAGGCAGAGGGCATTTGGGAGAACTAATTTTTCCCCATCCAGATTCTCCATCAAACATGTTTTAATAACCCCTGAAAGACTCCACCCTCCCTTCAGAACTGATGTCCCAAGAAATCCAAGAGTCTTAACTTTCCTGCCTTAGATGATGCATTCTCTTTTAATTATCATAGCAAGCCTTGCTTTTACTACTCATTTGATTACTTGTACATGCTACCTTAATCTTGTTGTGACCATGTGGTATTGCCAACTTCTTTGTAATTTCTTTAAATTCCCCAACAACATTATACAGCTGTGCTAGAGAGTAGCTGCCTATTTTTAAGTTAAGGATTTATTATGCAAGTGAAATACCTATCATAGAAAACAGAGAAAAGAAAAAGTATAGGACCATGGTTGGCAAACTGCGGCTCGCGAGCCACATGCGGCTCTTTGGCCCCTTGAGTGTGGCTCTTCCATGAGATATTACAGCCTGGGCGAATCTATTTTGAAGAATTGGCGTTAGAAGAAGTTTAAGTTTTAAAAATTTGGCTTTCAAAAGAAATTCCAATCGTCGTGTTGTTGAAATTTGGCTCTGTTGACTAATGAGTTTGCTGACTACTGGTATAGGAGGAAAAATGTCACAGTCACTCTTATTAGAAGTAACCATTGTCATTTTAATAGAGCCAAGTTATTTTATCTTGAATTCACAATGTCAGATTTGTCCCCCATTGGTGTGGATATTAATGAGGTAGGTTTGTCATGAGTCTTTGCTAAAGTTTATATGCTCTATAGCACTCTGCACAGAATAACCCTCTCCCTATATTAAAAAATAATTTGCCACAAATGATGCCACTATCAGCTGCTTCTAATTAACCTCCTCTGGCTTGTTTCAGTAAATGACTCAGCACCTGGACTTCTTAAAGCGGTCAGGTTTTTTTGAATCACAACCACATAAAATCACTTAACACTACTTTGGAAGTTCAACATCAACATTTGGTCCTGCAGCCTTGTTTCTAGAGTCCAAAATGATCATGTTAGAACCTTTGCTATTACCCTTTAAAAAAAAAAAAAAGTGCCAGGAGGTGTGAGCCAGTCAGTCTAGGAAAGTGGCTCACAATATTTTCCAGAAGCCCTTCATAGAAAAAAAAAAAAAAAATTGAGGATCCCTAGATGATTGTGGTTGGATATTTAATATTCACTGAGCAAACACATACATTGTTGGGGATTTAAAATGGGAACATTAAATGGAAATGGTGAACTATATTGGGAAACCCATCTCTAAAAGCCCCAATTTTTAACTCAAAGAGTATTTCATGTCCTCTTATTTTCCAGGCTAGGTTCTACTAGTTTTCCTACCATTCCTCCTGCCTTAGAAAGCCTTTCCTCTTCTGTCACATAGGTAGGAATGGTTAACAGATTCTGGCTTTCATCTTGAACTCCAGAGCCAACCCTGGGGTCACACAACAGATACTCAGATGACAGGCACACCTTATATATCTGAGGACTTTTTAACCCTTTCAAGATTTGTGAATGAGATCTTCAAAATCCACTCTCTCTGAATTGGAGGAAAGGGTTCTCTGGTAGATTCTTCCTTCCAGGTAATGGTGCTTGGGAGGAGAAAGAGGGAGTTGGCAGGATGTCTGATGTCAATGTCTGCTAGGATCATGTAGGGAAGTTGGATTTTGGAGCTGGCTATATTATCTCAGGATTCCAGGAAATCGTGGCTTCAAAGGAAAAAGAGGATTTTGGTAGTGGTAAGATGTGTATAATACTGAGAACCCTTTGCAATAACTCCACATTCTCCTAGTTATTTTCCCTCAATATGTTGGAAGCAATGACATAGGGTCTTATAAAGATCATATACACATGTGAACACATCTTATTGTGGCAGGTGAGTGGAATGATGAGGAAAGGAATATGTCAAAGTGAAAGAACTGCAAAATGACTCCATGGTCTTGGGGGTTAAAGTATTTGTGGGGTAAGATCTCTGATGCAGCTGTATATATTATAGCACCAGATCCTAGACTTGGGTCACAGTCAGGCACCAGGAAAATCTCACTAGAATTCCAGATTTCAATGAGGAATGCATACACAGATGTTCTCCTTGGTACAGGTTCTTTGCGGAGAGAGGCATTGTTAGACATTCACAAGACAGCTTGAAGCTCCAGTGTCCAACATTCAGGAGAACCAGCCCTACAGAACATTTGGCAAAGTATTTAAGATTCTAGAGTGTCTAAATATTAATGAAAAGAATGTTTCTTTATAGACTAGAAACCAAAGTGAGCTATTATACAATAACTAGAGGCGTGGTGCATGAAATCTGTGCACTTGGGTGTGCGTGTCCCTCAGCCCAGACTATACCCTCTCCAATCTGGGACCCCTTGGGTGATATCCGATTGCTGGTTTAGGCCCAATCCTAAACCAGTTGTCGGACATCCCTTTCACATTCTGAGACTGCTGGCTCCCAACCACTCACCTATCTGCCTGATTGCCCCTAACTGCTTCTGTCTGCTAGCCTGAACACCCCCTACACACTCCCCTGCCAGCTTGACTGATGCCTAACTGCCCTCCCCTCCTAGCCTGGTCGCCTCCAATTGCCTTCCCCTGCAGGCCCAGTCGCCCCCAACTGCCCTCCACTGCAGGCCCAGTTGCCTCCAACTGTCCTCACCTGCAGATCTAGTCCCCCTCAACTTCTCTCCCCTAAAGGCCTGTCTCCCCCAACTGCCCTCCTCAGCAGCCTGGTCCCCCACAATTTCCCTCTCCTGCAGGCCTGAACCCCCCCAACTGCCTTCCCCAGCAGACTGTTCCCCTCTCCCACCCCCCCTCCCCCCAACTGCTCTCCTCTGCAGGCCTGTTCTCCTCCCAACTGCCCTCCCCTGTTGACCTGATGGCCCACAACTACCCTCCCCTGCCGGCCATCTTTGACCACATGGGGTAGTCACCTTGTGAGAGGATGTTGAGGGTCAATTTGCATATTACCTCTTTATTATAAAGGATTACAATAAAATCTATAATAAACAAATACCCAGTTTTCCTTAGTACTAGTGGAAGAAAGAACTAGCAATTAGCAAGGAAACATTACATTAAGAAAAGATGTAGAAAGTTCTTTAAAAGTAAATTATATTGGTCTGGTTTAATCTTAAATGTTAATGAAGAAAGTCATTTCTTACAGTTACAGTCTAAGTAAAAATAAACCCAAATGAGCTAAGCTGTTTAGACAGCCTAGCTTCCTTATCTCAGTGGCATAATTTATCACTAGTTGTCTCTGGCTTACTTTAGGGGTTAGTCATCTGGGCCTATTTCCTTTATACACTGTCTCAAAAATAGAGATTTCCTGAAACAGTATTAGAAAGCTCTTACAAGAGATGGTTGCAGAGATAAACCTTCATTTCAGCCACAGTCTAATCTTGTCTGGATTTGGCTCAGCGATAGGACAAACAGCTGTGTTTATAAAAAAAAGATCAAAGTTTTGTGTCTCACCATCATTAGAAACAAAGAGACCAGCAACATTCATTGTCTTTTATTACAAAGGAAGGAAATAGGTACTCAACTCAGTATAGCACAAAAAACTTGGTTGGTAAAAATGATTATTTCATATATCTTTAAATTTATTGGGTTTCTCAAATTGCTTGCAAAGGCTGAGAAACCTGATGGCCTCCCCTTTAACCATTGTTCAAATGAATTTTATGTTTATACTAGAGGCCTGGTGCATGGATTTGTTCGTGGGGTGGGGCTGGGCCTGATGTGGAGAAAGGCCGTGGGAGGTTGGCCAGCAGGCCCCACCCCTGATTGGGGTAGGGGGGCCGAATGGGGCAGGGCTAACCAGGGGGAGGGGTTGTGATAGGTTGAGAAGGGCCGATTGGGCCCTGATTGGGCTAGTTGGCCTCCTGCAGTGCATGCCATAGGACTGGTCATTCAGTGGTTCCAGTCATTCAGTGTTCAGAGATCATAATAACCTGGCTACTCAGTGTATATAGATAAGCCCTTAAGTAGTGTATTCTTTAAAAATTAGTGGAGAAGGCAAATATCTATATAACAAAGACAGAAGTTAAACAGAAATAAGCTGATCCAGGGAAATTTCCAGGCAAACGTAACTTTGTCCTACATAAGGGCCACAATTGTTTTCACTAAGTTAGTTCAAAGAACAGTTGAAAAGGACAGAAAGATTTAGTGCTTTTGTATTTCCCATAAAGTCTGTGTCCTTGCATGACGCAAAAGAAGTTGGTTATGTTGAGACTGAGTCATGGATATGTCATCCAATGTGTATTCCTTTTCTCTTCTGTGAAATGAGATCCTCAAAGCTGATATCCTAATTATTTTGTTGTGTTACTGCAATTAGTTAACAAATGGTTGCTACACATTTCAAGTTATGTTAATAACAACAAAAGAAAAGGACCTATGTCTTAAAGGGCATATTTCTTTAAATGTATAATTATAAATGCACATTAGTTGTTTTGAAAACCTTTTCCAATGCCTGTTAAAATGTTTTTGAATGAGCAAGGTGTTAGATTAAAGAAACAGTATGTTCTCTCTGTCCCTGTTGCTGAGCACACTGACAACTTGATAACAATATGCTGGAACGAATGCTGCTGCTGAGGACTTGACCAGCCGCCTAAGAGGAATATGTGGAAATGGACCATCAGAACGGTCATTTTACTTTGTAAATCTTACTTGGGTTCAGAACTAAGGTCAGTGCTGGTATGGCATGAAGTTGAGTTAAACTGAGTTTAACTTTTTTGAGCTACAGAAAAACATGGAATCTGGACCAAATACTATTTCTCTCCTCAGAAATTAGTTTTGGGCACAGTACTGTCTCATAACTTCCCAATCAGCATTTCTGGGATAATGTCAGGCTTTGGACAATTACAAAGAACCAGACACAAATGTGCAAACCAGATCTCGATTTCTTCTCCACTGACGTGAGATTTAAAACAGTAACAGGAACATTTCTAAGTCAGTGTCATTATGTAGTTGCAAATTACCAAAGGAACAAATTGGAGTGCATGGGTGTGCAATTTTGTGTTTTGGCACAGGAGAGACACTGAAATATCCACAATGCATAAGCCAAATCATAAAAATAAAAAGGCGCTATGATTCCATCATTCTGAAAGTGTAGGATTTAGTTCTGACATCTTGGAGATTTGTGATATCCTGACTTTTGCTTCAACAGTCCTAAATAATACAAACTTTAGGACACAAGTACAACTTTTTTTTTTTTTCTTTTTTCTTTTCACAATGTAAGTGAAGCAATCCTGAGAAAAACTGAGTTTCAACCAAAGAAAAACCATCTTAGACGTATTGATAAACATGGAAAAACTAAAATTAAGTGGGGCACACACACACACACACACACACACACACACACACACACACGGCTCTTGTTATTTATTAGGAATTAGACATTATGACCAATAGTTAATTTCAAGTGATACATTTCTTCCTGCCTTAGTCTAATTTAAACACATTTTACTAAGAACAAAGTTTACTAAGTTGGAAAAGAATATCATTATACCAGTTAAAGAATTGTATATACTAGTATTTAACAATAAATTTGAAACTGGAAAATGGTTGCAATACCCTCTATGTAAGATGTTTTCTTTTTAAAAAAGGTTCCAGTTCTGTCCTTAGTAGGTAAAATGTATATACCATTTCTGGAACCTGGCGGTAAAGGCATTCCTCTCATTTCTCACAGCACTGTATTAATTTACAAACGGAACACTGCCTGCCTCTCTTGGACATAACTGTATTTACACGACTACTATGACTTACCTTTCCACTAGCAAAGAGTAGTCCTACTGGAAATTTCATCAGACGATGTTTATATATTTGGGTAAGCCCTTATTCTGAAGAATCCATATCCCAGATACCAGGCCCAACATACTCACCTCTATAATTAATCTTCATCCCTAAAAACAACCCACTCAATTTATAAGTCACTTTTTCTAAGTATAAGACAATTTTCAACTACACTAGTCCCATTTATAATTTCAGGATGTATTCCTTATTTTTGTTAAATATTCTGAAATGACAAATTCGTATGAAATTTTTGGCCTATCCTGATGCTTTTAAGGCTCTCTGTCCCACCACAGAGACTGTTAATGGGAATCATGTTAAAATTCACATTTTCCTTTGTAAGTTCAAAAGTTGCTTACAAGGGATAAATAAAACTATTTCTATTATTTGGTAATATTTTACAGTATTAAATAACTGACATGCAAATTGATATGCTATGTAATTTTTCATCTACACTTTAAAGCATATAACAGTTCATACCAAATATCTACATGATTACAAAACTATATTGAAATTTTTAAAATACCTGTAACATTTCCCTGTCAAAAGATAATTATCTTGATTCCATAAGAAATCATATAGAGAACTTGAGTAAAAATATAAGAAATCATATAAATAGAGAACGTGAGTAAAAATATTTATTAGCATTAATTAAAATAAAGTTAATGCCTCAAAAAAGAGAACTATACATCTCTGAAATTAATTATTACCTGTTAAGTATTTTTATTCACCTTTACTCAATCCTCACAGTAACTAACTTCATGAGATACTGATTCCTGTCTCTATTTTATAGGATGAAATGTAGCTTCAACTCACAGGTATGCAGTTTGCAGGAATTCTTTTAATTCCATAATGACTGAAGGCCAAACCCCAAGCTTACACTCTTCTGATTACATCATAGTGTGTCACAAAAACATGGTGACTGCCTTACATCATATTGACTTCCATGGATTTTGAAATGGTGAATATAGTTCTTCTGCCACTAGATGTCATCTCAAAAACATTTAAATTTCTATAAGAATGGTGAAAATTCATAATAGGCAAACGCTGTTAAAAATGATGTAATGATGTTATTTCTCAAGGTAAGCTTTATCCTATATACCAGATGTTCTAAGGATATGGAGATGTATAGTCAAAAGCAATGTGCATATACTAAATGGTTGAGTAGCATAATTGGTCACATTTTTAAGAAATTAATCTCTTTAATATTAAATTAAATAATAAACTTTAATAATTCCTGAAAAAGTCCTAAGATCCCTACATATAACAGATTGCTAAGCAAATAAAGGTGTGCTCGCATGCATGCACGAGTACGCGCACACCCACACACACTCTCTCTCAACTGCTTCTAGAGTAACACTGAAAGGAGATCCTTTTTTCCTTTTGTAAATATTTGTCCCTGAGAATTAAAGTAGCATATATTTAAAGTATAGAGGATAGGCTATACTTTGGATAATCCTGTGATAAAATCAAAAGCATTATGTTTCCCTAGTCATTTCTTTTCTGGAACTTCTGAGTCAATTATATTCTTAAGAGTTGATTAAAACACACACACACCCACACCCACACACACACATAGAACAGAGTAGAAAATTTTTTTTTCAAACCATTAACATTTTATTTAACAAAACAACTGGGATATTTCTAGGGCTTACAGTATATTTAATATAAAAATAAGGAATTCTCCAAAAATGCAAAACTTATGGATCCAAGCTAGACAAAAATTGATTTCACATTTCAGTTACCCAAAACAACAGCTTGTGGTCGCCTCCAACTGCACATAGTGGGAGAGTTCTATGCCAGGAGAGGCCAGATCCAACGACTACTGAACCAAGGAGGATGGGCTATAAAATAAGTGAAGAATTAAAGAAGCTTACTAAATCATCAAAGTAAAAACTACCCTTCAGAAATAAAAAATACATTAATATATTGCCTTTATTTATAGCAGAATTAAAAAATATGCTTCCCCACAGGTGAAATATGAATTATTTGCTTGCAGCTGACTGGAAGGAAGAATATAAATAATCTACGAATTACTGGTGCAACCCTGAGTCAAATATTTTTGCAGGCTGAACAAACCAAGCAAGCAAAATTATTATATTTAAATGAAGGACAGCCAAACCAAGCAAGCAAAATTATTATATTTAAATTATTATGCTTAAATGGCTAGTGTAACTCAGTGCTTAGGGTGTTAAATTCGATTCCCAAAGGTACACACCTGGGTTACAGGTTCGATCCTCAGCTCCATTTGGGGCGTGTGTAGGAAGCAAAGGATCACTATGTTTCTCTCACATCAACAGATTGATATAGATTGATATCCACCTCCCTCCCCCAATATCACCTTCTCTCCCTTCCACTATCTTTAAAAATCAATGGAAAAAGTATCCTCAGGTGAGGATTAAAAAAAATAAATTAAGGATAAAATATAACAGAAGAAATTAAATGCTCCTTATATGTATATAGACAAAATATCTATTACCACTAGTGATTTAAACATAAAAAAATGCCTTCTCTTTCCAATTTAAGCAGATGACATTCATACATATCTTTACATACCCATTACAATTTTGGGGGCTATAAATGGAAAAGTAAAAAGCAAATTAAAAACCCATATGCCACAAAACATCTCCACATTACCTGAGGATGTCCTAAATGATGAATTTGAAACTGGCTTGCCATTTTGCCGGGATAACCAGTGGTTGCAAACAAATTTTCATTAATTGTGGACCACCTAAGGAAAGAAAGGGTACAAATGATTTCAGTACTTTTCAGACAACCATAAACTTTTCTAAAACAAGTTATTTTTGTTGTTGCACAAAACAATAATTTTATAACCCTGAATTTGTTAGTGGGGCTTTAAAATTAGACTAAAAGTTCCAAGAAAGATAACTATATGTTCTCATTCTGTAAATATTTATTAAGTGCTTATTGCGTGCCACTTTATTACATTCCAAAGTTACACAGGTTAGCAGTTCCTTTTTTATAACCAAAGGGCTAACAGTGTGGTAGGGGATTATCAATAAGGTATCAGACAGATATAAAATATAAAATATTTCACAGAAACACATTTAATGTTCTTCTTGATAACTGTTAAGAACTAGTGATACACTCACAAGTTTAGAATTCCTGGGGCTGATACAAATACTAAGAATATTTAGATATTTAAATATTTAAGATTTAAGACATCCTACACATTGGAATATAATGAATCAATGAATCAACATGTTAATGGAGCTCCAGCAATATGCCTAACACTTTAATAAATAAAGAAGATATGAGAAAAAAAGAAAAGATTCTCTGATCAAAAAAACAAACAGAAGTTTGTTGCAGACATTGCTGCTTGTCCAACAGCTCTTTTGACCTTTTTCCATGTTAATTGAATTCCAAGTATCTTCTGGCAGCGAGTCCAACCCCAAGGGAAGAGACACAACTGGTTTCATGCAAAGATAGCCATCCCCAATGAAAAGGGAGTGCTCTTCCTCTCCCCTTCCTTTGGCCAATGATGAGGCTATGATGCCTGGAGCAATGGAGGTCATCTCGTGATTGTGAAGCAACAAGTCAAAGCCTTGCCATGGAGGCTGGCAGAGGGAAAGGCTTGAACTCTTGATATGTTGCTGAGCTGCTAAACCAATCCTGATATTGCCTTCTCCAGATTTCTTAAGTACTACATACTATTTACTTACATCTCTGAAGTCAGGATGCATCTCACAATCTATGACATCCTTACATTTAGTTGACTATAATCTTAGATTTGATATCATATACATATAATACATGTTCTATTGGTTTTAGACTCAGTAAATTTTTCTATTAGTTAAAAATGAAAGAGCCATAAAGACTACTATACAATGGAATATTACTCAAAAAGGAAAGAAAAACAAGGAATGAATGTTAATTGAAGCAACAAAAAAAAAAGAGAGCAAGTTGCAGACAGTGTCTAGCATTTTCTCATTTAGCACAAAAATGAAGTTTATATGCAAAAATATGGTTCCACCTAATTTTATAGCTTGATCAGTACAAAAAAATAAGGAAACATAATGCTCCAAATTGTGGGGGCGGTATTTGTACAGTGGCAACATGTCTTATAAAATTAAAAAGCAACAACATTGAAAAATCACTCCCTCGCCTAACCCAAAAAAACAAGAGCAAAAATTTAGTTAAGAAAGCAAAATAGCCATTTATAAAATTATCAGAGGAAAAAAAGACAACCCCCAAATAAGCAAACATAAACCCAGAGCGATGAAGATTGGGAAAGTATTCCAGATGGTGATACTGCATGAACAAAGTAATCAGACTCAAAAACTAAAATTGAAAGTCCAACAAAAGTAGTACAATTACCTAAATATGCAGGCTCGATCCATGTGGACAGGTCTCTTCACTTGAGGGTAACTAAAAGACAGTATTTTGCATTTTATGAATTATGTACTGGTCTTAAGTAGAACTTAAATTACAGTTTAAAAGGTATTTTCTTTAAATTAAAAAATATATTTCTGCCGAAACTGGTTTGACTCAGTGGTAGAGCATTGGTCTGCGGTCTGAAGGGTCCCGGGCTCGATTCCGGTCAAGGGCATGTACTTTGGTTGCGGGCACATCCCCGGTGGGAGGTGTGCAGGAGGCAGCTGGTCGATGTTTCTCTCTCATCAACGTTTCTGGCTCTCTATCTCTCTCCCTTCCTCTCTGCAAAAAAAATCAATAAAATATATTAAAAAAAAAAGAAAAAAAGAAAAAAGAAAAGAAAAAAAAGGAAAATCTCTGGAATTACCTGCTTAATGTAAGCAAACCAAATATTTTATATATATATATATATATATATATATATATATATATATATATATATATATATATATGATTGGTGAATGAAGTTGTTGAATTTTCTTTATTTTTCTTTATATGCCCAAGAGAAGATACTGGCAAATGAGAGAACTCTTGTTGAATGGCTCCCATTTACTCAATATATTTATTATATCTATATATATTTCTATTGATTTCAGAGAGGTAGGGAGAGGAAGAAATAGAAATATCAACGATGAGATAGAATTATAGACTGGTTGCCTCCTGCAGGCCCACAACACAGGCAGGTGTGCTGATTCAGAATCAAACCATGACCTCCTGGTTCATAGGTCAATGGTCAACCACTGAACCACACTGGCCAGGAGGTATTTTCTTTTTTTAAAAACACAATGGCCAAGCCCTAGCTGGTTTGGTTAAGTGGTTAGAACATAGGTCTGTGGACTGAAGGGTCCCAGGTTTGATTCTGGTCAAGGGCACATATCGTGGCTGTAAGCTCCTCCCTGGCCAGGCCCTGGTCAAGACTTGTGCATGAGGCAACCAATCGATGTGTTTCTTTCACATCAATGTTTCTTTCTGTCTTTCTGTCTCTCTTCCACTCTCCCTAAAAATCAATGGAAAATATCCTCGGTTGAGGATTAACAACAACAAAAATAATAATAATAAAAGATAACTTATTTAAAAACAAAACAAAATACCACAATGGCCAATATACTTAAACTGTGACAAAATTCCAAATAAGTATTGGATTGAAATAGATGAAATATGATAAAGACATAAGCATGATGCAGAACCATTATAAAACATGATCATTCAACAGGGTCAATGTTTGTTTTTTCAACGTAAGTAAACAATGCTCTAAGATTTCCTCCCTCACATTGATCTCCCTGGGTTTTGCTCAAAATGAGTCAAAGCACTGATACCCATCTTTGTTATCAAAACCCATAGCTCTGGCCCTTTCAAAATAGACTTGCCTTAGCTCAACAGTGAGGGCCAGTGATATAAAAATGGCTCAGTGGATCATTAACAAGGACTGACTTTTTAGTTAGCAATATATGTACTAAGAAAGTACCTGGATCGAGTAATATCCCAAATTAACCAATCATTCCCTGCAACAGCTCCAACTTTGAAGGTGTTTTTTAAACACCAATGTGCTGACATTAATGGAATCTGTTCTGATTCAAGAGATAAAATAGCCTGTTGGGACATAAGATCATAAAATCGGATTGTTCCATTCTTCTCTGCAACCATCAGCTGTAAGACAGAAAAATAAAGAAAATTCAACAACTTCATTCACCAAATTTGAGAAGTAGGTAAAGATTCAATTCATATAGTGAAATTTAAACATTTGCATATATGTATTATGAATGAAGGATCAAATGCAAAGGATGCTTAAGGAACTGGCATTGGCTCTAAACAATTGAAGGATTAATTTTAAGAAGATGAATGTGGTAGCTTCTTAGATTCTATGGAACAATAAAACAGAGTAATGCCCAAGAGAAGATACTGGCAAATGAGAGAACTCTTATTGAATGGCTCCCATTTACTCAATGAAGTAAGAGTTAAGGCCAAATGATACCTTTAGGATTTTAGAAAGCTCTGTTTTGAATTGATTATCACTGCAATAAGATCAGATACTTTCTGTTTATACACTATGGCTCACAAGCATGGATTTAACTTTGGTTTTTAAACAAATATTGCTACTAGGCAATATGGGCATCAGTTTTTGGACTGTAATTTACCAAAGAGCAGGAAAAGTGTCTTTTAAATGAATGCCATTTAGAGATGATGGCTGTCAAATAAAAACTTAATTATACAGAACTTTTAAGGTATAGCTTTGTAGAGTAAATGTATTTGTGACAAATACATTTGTCTCTGAGGTGGAAAAAAGTCATTGATTTTTCTCCTCTTTGTGTTCAGTATTACACATATATATGTCTTTTCACCTTGATAAAAGAAAAGTAAGTTATAAATAACAACCTTAAAAGATTCCTCAGGATGCCAGCACACACTCATTCCAGGGGAATTAAGAGCAAAATGAGATGTCTGTACTCCATCCAAGTTCCAAATCCTAAGAAAAGAAAAGTGGTACAAGTTTAAATATTTTTGATATATCACTACTAAAAAAAATACAATTTCCAGAATTTATTCAAAGCCATTAACTAAAGATTACAATGTAGACATTTGTACTTAAAGTATATCTTTCAAGGAAAATGATAATTATTTTAGAAATTTGTGAAAGCAGTATGAAGAATTTAACTTTTACCATACTCAATCACAGAAAAAGTCACATACATTTTCTCATTAATTTAACACCGTAACACCTGTAACCAAATTATTCCTATATTCCTTTTATTGTGGACAAAATCTTAAACTAATCAGGTTGCATTTCTGCATCAGTAGGCAATTCTCAAAGGTGGCCTTGATGGATAGCTACATTAAAGGTGAACTGAAGGAAAAAACACCTGGTTCCTCCCTCTAATTTTTCCAAATCCATCGTAACAAGAACCAAGCTAATCACTGACACGGCTTTCTATTTCAATTTCTTTCCTATCCTGAGTGGAGATCAAAACTCAGAAATCTCGCTTTATTGTGAGAAGTGCTATCCCCAACCCAGACTAAGTTTTCCAGCTCATTCTTCACACTCAGCTGCTATTATGTCTCAGTGGTACAGAGTGTAGCATAGAGTTAGCATGGCAGGAGACAGAAATTGGTGGGTGGTTGGCAAAATGCCCACAAAATTCTGGTCCTTAAGAATTGAACTCACTCGTTAGAATGCCTTGGACATTTCCTTCTAGGTTTTTGTGTTCACACTTCATTAAGAACCATAAATAATTTCAATAAACTTAAAGAATATATCTTTAAAGTCTAGGCAAAGTGTATTTCAATGAAGGAAGACATATTTATTAAAAATGTAACTATTCTGTACCAAAACCACTTTTCTTCCTCTTTTCATATTTCTTTATTAATGACCAACTGAAAAGGCCTACATTTTCTCTAACACATTTTCTGACAAAAATAGCCTGAAAAGAACCATTTGTTGAATAACAAAAGGCACAATTTTTTAGATGGTCTTATTTGTAAAATAGATTTCTCAAAACACCCCTTTTTTTCTTGCATTTTATTTTTCATGTATATATGTACAGATAGATTTGCATCTATTTAAAAATGCAGTGAACATAATACAGTAGGAGCTCTCTTAAGTTAGCTCCTTCTGACACTCTTCCTTTGTCCCTCTGTAGAACTGAAGAGGAAAAGAGGCACTTTTCTTCTAACATTCTTGCACATGCATTTTGTAGGCTGACCAAGAGGGCCTATGGGTTCATTGCTAGCAAATCAGTTTGTAAGTGATGTCAGCCCATATTTATTAATGTGATTAAATAATATTATATAAGCTGACAGAATATGAATGTGAAAGAGCTATTTCAATGAAACTAAGTTGATAACAAACAACGGTATCTAAACTTAAAAAGCATTCATAAATTAGGCATGTATGACAGTCACAGAAGATTAAGCAATAAATATTATAAAAATCTAGATATATTTGAATTAAGACTGCTTAGCAAGTGTTTTCATTGTGGGCACTGTATCATGGGTGTGGATCATGTAAAAAGAGGTCCCTAACACTAGTCAATGGTTTCATAACTTAAGGAAAGAGAAAGCCTTGTCCTCCTGCTAAAAGGTTGGCAAAGTTGACAAATTTTCATATGTATGTTGTATAAGAAAATAAGATAGGTAGACACTTCTTTAAAATGATTTCCTGAAAAAAAGGGAGGACCTATGCAATATCTTCAATAATAAAGATTTAAAAAAAATATTTTCTGAGTTTACTGATTCTTTTTATCTAAGAAACAACAGATTTAGACCATGTCAGATAAGAGTTTCTAGTATAATGGGGAAAAATATGTAACTTTTATAAATTAATATTTTAATATTTCCAAACATATTGTGAACACATCCTATTTAATAAAAGGGTAATATGCAAGTTAACCATCACTCCATCACAAAGATGGTAGCACCCATAGCCACAAGATGGCAGCGCCCAGTCCTCTCAGCCCCGCAGGAGTCCCCACTCATTGCAGGGGGGAAGGGAGAAGACAGCTGCTGAAAGCAGGCTGCATGAGCAGCCTGGCAGAATGCTTGCTTTGTGCTGCGCCTGGCTCACCTTGGGTGGCTTACTGCATGTGACACAGTTTATGTAAAATAAATAAAATTATCTAAAAGTTAATTATCACCACAGAAACATAATTAAGAAAAGTGGTACATTACAGAAGGAGAAAAGCTTTTAGAGTTTATAGCCTTAAGACACACAATCAAATGCATGAAAAGACAACAGATTATTTACAAAAGTATAAAAATATAACATTACCAAGATAAACTACCTTGATAAAAAAAATCAGGAGCTATATGGAGGAGATACACACACACACACACACACACACACACACACACACACACACACACACACCTACTTAAATGTTTGCAAGGGCAATTTCAAAGTAAAGGCTTTCAAGATGAAATTAATCTGCTGACATATTAATAAGCCAATAATATAAATTGAATCAAAGGGCATCACTCTTCAAGTAAAATAAAATGATACTTTTGAACCAATTTAACTATAACAAACATTTCCAACCCCTTACCACTCTGTAGTCCTAAGTAGAACTCTTAGATTTAGCTGTAAAATGTATGGATAAAGAGCTATGATTATGAATTACAATCACTTTACTTTTTGGCAGTTTAGTGTTAAAATCATTTGGTAGTTTATTATGAAATCATTTCAGGTTGAGCACTTTTCAGCAGAACATTACATATTCCTACGATATATTATTTAAATGTAGTTGTCCCACTTAATTAATAAAAAGATCCCACAAATTGGCTGTTGTCATATTGAGGATATCCTAGATATTCTTCAGGCCTTTTAAATTGAAAATTAGTAGAGGGAGATGTTCCCTCTGAGAATTCAAAGGGAAACTTTCTGGGTAATACTTTTTTTTTTTTAAATTTGTTTGTTCTCTATTTTTAATTGGCAGCTCATTGTCTGTTAGGAAGTTCATTGTATCGATATAAGGAAATTTCTGTTACCAAATGTTTATGACTAAGAACATAAGACAAAAAAAGGAATATATAACATTAAATAACGCATCTGTATCCATTTGGCCTTCTGTAACTAATCAAGCAAAAAAATACAAATCACAATCTGAAAAACATGGCTGGATCACATGAACCTCTGCATTAATTAAATATGAAAGTAAGAACAAAAGTAATACCGAGATGTAATTAAAAGGATGAGAAGGCACTTTACAATGTTTATGGGCATAGGAAAGGAACCTCTGACACTTATAGAATTGAACTCACTCGTTAGAATGCCTTGGACATTTCCTTCTAGGTTTTTGTGTTCACACTTCATTAAGAACCATAAATAATTTCAATAAACTTAAAGAATATATCTTTAAAGTCTAGGCAAAGTGTATTTCAATGAAGGAAGACATATTTATTAAAAATGTAACTATTCTGTACCAAAGACACACAATCAAATGCATGTAACTATTTTTTACTAAATTTGTGATAGCAAAATGAAGATCCCCCCCCCCAATTCTAAGTAATTAATCTCTAAGTTACTTATCATGCTATGGATGATTCAAAAAAGGAAAAGATATGGTGTACTTTCTTAATCAGTGAATATACAATTAGAAAAAAAAAAAACAAGTTACAAAAGAATTTGGTGTTAAAATATGTGGCTTTAAGTGCAAAAGGAATTCAGAGGTGGGGACCATATAATTGAAAGCAAAAATCTAGAATAAATAAACATCATTCTGTGGCTTGAACTATGAAAATCTTTGGTATCTAGGCAAAAAGCTTTACCACTGGAGGCAACAAAATGGCACAACTGTATGAAATAAGAATTTTGAGGAGTGCTTTAGTATGTCAGTGTTTGAAATATATTCCGAAATTAGAGTAGACTACCAGTAATTCTGCTTTTTTTTTTTTTTAATACTCCAGACTACTAACCAAGTAGTATGAATGTACTAGTAGTATTCATGATAAAAGAAATGGATTACCAGAAATTTTACTGATTTAAGATTAAAAAGATTTAGAAGGGAGAAAATGAGAAATAACTATATATATATATATATATATATATATATATATATATATATATATCTCACCCTTCAATAATTAAAAATGAGTCAATGATAGAGTCCATAATCAAAGGCTGTTCGTGTTTTGGAGGGGAGAGGAAGTGTCCTGATTCAAACATAGGCTTAATGAACAAACTTTACTACACAAAAAATTATTGATCATTGTTTATCTTCATGAAGCCTTGGAGAGCTTAAAAAAAATTTATAGCTTACATGTTTGCTTTCTTGAAATTGTAAACAAATTCAGCAGCAACTATTACAAGCTTATCACGGAGGTGAGAAACTACCTGAGGCCACCCCAGCGAATTAACATCTTATTTAACTTACAGATGAGTAGATTTTTAAAATTTAATTTTTCAATTATGGTTTACTTTTAATATTCTGTGTACAGCACAGTAGCTAACGATATACTTTATTAAGTGCTGGTATTTCTAGTACCCACCCGGCACCATACATATTATTATAATATTGTCTATATTTCCTAAGCTATACTTTAATCCTTTGACTATTTTATAACTACCCATCTGTACTTCTTGATCTCTTCACCTTTTTCACCTGGTCTCCTCCCTCTGGCAAACATTAGACCTCTGTGTCTATGAGTCGAAAAGATTTCTGAAGGATAGGAATATTGGAAAATTTTGTCGCATTTAAAAATAAACCTCAACATTACATTCTCAACTGCAAAAAAATACCATATGGTAGTTTTCAAATAGATATTATGTAATGATTTCATCTTCAAGATATTCAGGGTAAAAGGACTTTTAACTAACATAAACTTTAATACAAATACTGTAATACTATCCAGGAAAATTAGCATTTCATTATTTCTAAGAAAAATTTTGATATATTTTCAACTTAAAATGTGACTCTTATCTGTCACATAAATGGATTTTCAAAATAACACTAAAAATGTTTATGGATGTTATTC